TTATAGCAGCACTGTTTACAATAGCTAAGCTTTGGAAACAACCCAAATGCCCAAAAATAGATGACTGGATCAAGAAGATGTGGTACATATATACCATGGAATATTACTCAGCATTCAAAAAAGATAAACACATGCAATTTGCAGCAACATGGATGCACTGGAAGGGATCATGCTCAGCGAAATAAGCCAAAAAAAAGAAAAATACCGGATGGTCTCACTCATAGCAGGAATCTAGAAAACTTAAATAAGGGACCAGGAAAATGAATATAAGAAAGTGAAAATCAAAATCAACAAAAAACTATGAACCAGAGACACTTTTGGGGGGGGGGGGGGCGGGAGGGGAAGGATTGGGTTCAGAATGGGGCGTTTGCAATTGTATGGGGGAATATAAAAATAAAATTTAATATTTAAAAAAAAAAATAAATAAATAAATAAATAGCTGAAAAAAAAAAAAAAAAAAAAAAGAATATCTAAATGGAAATGCTGCTTCTACTTGACTCGAAACATTGATCTAAATCACCAAGAAGAGTTATGGGCGTCATCGTTGGCATAAAAGTCAGACATAGGAACACACTGGAGTTCAAATCCTTTCATCAGTTTCTCCCTATGGAAATATACTGACAGCTGATTAAAATCCTGATATATCTTCATGGTAGTAATAGAGATCATGAATATTATTTGATGTTGTTGCCAAAAGAAATCTTCACAGGCACATGATGAGAGAACAGGGGACATTCCAATAACAGAGCATAGAATTGTGTGTGTGTGCACATTAGCTAAGTAGTGAGCCTCTATGTTGACCACCAACTCTGGGATCCAGGATGCAAAAGAACAAGAATGCTTCTTTAATGCCTGCAACTTGATTTTGAGCAAAGAGCATATACTGGTAGCTGACTATTTAGACTATATGGGAACTTAATATATATTTTAATAAAGCTGGTTTTTTAAAAAAAAATTTATTTATACATACAAAATCAGAGGTCGAGGCCAAGGTTGGGTGAGGGTGGAGGTGAGAGGATTCACCCGAGACAGATCGGGGAAAAGAACAGGCAGATCTACTAAAATATACTGGGAAGGGGAGCAGCAGGCGAGACAGGAGAGTTCTGCTACACCATGTGGGTCTGCTCCCTGGCTGGGGATCAAATCCATGCTGGAGTGTCTGACAACAGCTTGATAGCACTGAGACTCTGACCCCTGTGCCACCAGGGAGGCCCATAAACCCAATCGATTTTTATGTGGCTATCCTCAGGTATATTTGGTAACATTCTTTTGTAATTTTTTTTGCATGGAAGAACAAGAATGTGGGGCAGTGGTGTAGTGGGTGAGAGGATTCATCAGCAACCGCGTCAGGAGCAGAACAGGCAGATTAACTGAACTACACTGCTAAGGGGAGCAGTGGGCATGAAAGGAGAGGACTGTTAGTCCATGTGGGTCAGTTCCTTGGCCTGGATCAAACTTGGGCCTTAGCTGTAATAAGGGTGAGACATTAACCAATTCCTCCTTGTTCAAGGATTAGGTAAACTATAGGAACAATAAACTGGTTGTCAACACAGTGTCAGGCTCCATTCACACAGACTTTATTTTTTTTTAAAGACTAATCATGTAATCAGTTTTTTTTTTTTTTAAAGATTTATTTATTTATTTATACAAGCACTGGGTACAGTCAGAAACACGGGAGGGTGAGAAAATTCACCAGAGCCAGAGCAGAGAGCAGAGAGCAGAGCAGGCAGACTGACTAGCAGCAGTGGGCGGCAGGTGAGGTCTCGGCGCCATGTGGGACCCTTGCCCTGCAGCCAGGGATCGAACTGGTGCTGCAGAGGCTGTGGGCAGCTTTGCAACCCAGCGCTCAAGGGCTGTGCCACCGGGGAGGCCCCATTCACATGGACTTTAAATCTCAAATAGTTTTAATTGTATTTTACAACAACGGCACTTTTTTTTTGGTCCGTTTAGTAACACCACATGTTGTAATGTGTATATTGAAAATTATGTAGGAGTATTGTCAAGAACTTTCATCCAACACTCCATGGTACCCTTAGAGGATCTTGCTACATTCCCTAGAACACACCCTGACGAATCACAAGTAAATATAATTTCTTTGCATGAGGTCATTTGCACATATTGGCAATGGTAGTCTCTCACAGGCCCTCCCCTTGATTGGCCCTGGACCTAACCTCCATAGAGCCAACAATAGTCCTGCCGTTTTAGGTTTAACTTGAATAATCTCAGTTCAGTAAAGTTGAAGCACTCCAGTTAGGTACCCTAATATATTCACATGCCCCATTTCCTGCAACTCTCTCCTTACTGATCTCTGCTGCATCCATGTAGTCCACAAGGTGTGAGTGGACTTTAATCAGTATCTCTGTCATACATTTCTCTATTTCCATTTCTTGTCTGGTCTTCCCTTGAACTGTGACTCTCCATGTATTCCCTAGAGACTTTCTCCACAAATTCGGCTTTAACTAGTCGCAATTATAATTAGGAGCAATACCCCAACAATTCTCAATCAGGACCTATAAAATCGTACCCTATTTCTTTGAACAGTCCCTTCTCATGGCCCATAAAACGAACACATTTTCATGGCTGTGATAACATATTGAATGCCACATGTAAAGATATTAAGAGACATTATTTAGGAATGACAGAATGTCGGGAAGAGAGAGTGTGTGTGTCTGGGCCGCAAGTCTATCACAGGCAGGTAGTGCTGGAAGTAGGTCGGGCAGCAGTTGCTTAGTTTTTGATCAGCCGGTAACTCTTTTTTTTTTTTTTTTTTTTTGTTTGACAAATATTAGGTCATGTTTTTATTTATTTTTTTTAAATAATAAATTTTATTTTTATATTCCCCATACAATTGCAACCCCCATTCTGATCCCAATCCCTCCCCTCCCGCCCCCCACCCCCCCAAAAGTGTCTCTGTTTCATAGTTTTTTGTTGATTCTGATTTTCACTTTCTTATAGTTATTCATTTTCCTGGTCCCTTATTTAAGTTTTCTAGATTCCTGCTATTGTAACAGGGTGGTCCCCAGGAAAGGGGGAAGTTCCAGGTTCCCTGCCCCACCCAAAGGAGGGTGGAGCTGAGCAGGGAGAGAAGAAGCTGAAGAAGAAACTGAGGAAGGAAGCAGGATGGAGCCAGGAGACTTTTGACTGCCCCTCTCCCTGTCCTATAACACTATGAGTGAGACCATCCGGTATTTTTCTTTTTCTTTTTGGCTTATTTCGCTGAGCATGATCCCTTGCAGCACCATCCATGTTGCTGCAAATTGCATGTTTATCTTTTTTGAATGCTGAGTAATAGTCCATGGTGTATATGTACCACATCTTCTTGATCCAGTCATCTATTTTTGGGCATTTGGTTTGTTTCCAAAGCTTAGCTATTGTAAACAGTGCTGCTATAAACATAGGGGTGCAGGTGTTCTTTGGAATTGATGTTTCTGTGTCCTTTGGGTAAATACCTAGGAGTGGAATTGCTGGATCATATGGAAGCTCTATGTTTAGTAGGTCCAGAAATCTCCACACAGCTCTCCATAGTGGTTGGACCAGTTTGCACTCCCACCAACAGTGCAGAAGAGTTCCTTTTTCTCCACACCCTCGCCAACATTTGTTGTTGCTAGTTTTTTTAATATGTGCCATTCTCACTGGTGTAAGATGGTATCTCATGGTAGTTTTGATTTGCATTTCCCTGATGACAAGTGATGTTGAACATTTTTTCATATGCCTGTTGGCCATTTGCATTTCTTCTTCAGAGAAGTTTCTTTTTAGCTCTTCTGCCCATTTTTTGACTGGATTATTTTCTTTGTTGTTGTTGAGTCTCATCAGCTCTGCAGATTTTTGTGATCAGTCCTTTATCATTAGTGTTGTGTGCAAAAATGTTCTCCCAGTTGGTGGGGTTTCTCTTTGTTTTTGTTATTGTCTCTTTTTCAGCCGGTAACTCTTAAAGTGGGTCTAGCAGGATGAAAAATGTCGGTTGAAGCCATTCAGCGAGAAGTGAGGAGACTGCGAGCAGCTCAGACTCAGATCTTTTACGAAATAGACCGAAGGGTTCTTGGCTCAGCCTGGTGGCCTCCAGCAGCTCTGAGCTCTCACACAATGCATGGAGTGAATGGGGTCTGAGGGTACAGAGTCCCAGCTGGGAGCCTCCAAACCTGGTCTCTCACTGGCGCTGAAAGGCAAAGCTGCCACAAGAGAAACGCCTTTACATTGACTTTATTCAAGATGCTGTCCAGGGAGTGTGCCCTTCTCACCCTCCTGGGGATGCAGCTCCCCAACGGTAGGGGTAGGGCACAGTAACAGGAACCCACTTCTCTGGCATCAAAAAAAGGGCCCCTCCTTTTCCTCGCCAACCTCAGTTCCTGCGCCTGGAGCAACCTGAGAGGCTGCGCCCACCGGCCCCGCCACCACGTAAGTCCTTGAGTCTCACGGCGAAGACGCGCGCCCAGAAGGTCCCTGACGGGCAGCGCACAGGATTGTGGGGAATGTAGTCGCCCGAGGACACGCGGTTCCCGCAAAAGGGCTCTGGGAAGGGGCTTCCGGGTTGGTCTGCGCAGGTGCGGCCCCGCGTCCTCCCCCTCCTTCCGGGAGGCGCGGGACCCTGCGCTGTCGCTGCTGCCGCCGACCACGGGTTGGGCGCTGGCTTAGTCTCTGAAGGCTGGGTTTGGGGTGAAGCTGAGGATCTGAGTGCGGGTGTGGGGAGAAGGGGGAGCCCGGGGGCTGCGGACACGGTAGAGGCGCGTCGGGTGAGGCCTGAGGCGGGGGAGGGGGGGAGCCCCGGGGCCCTGGAACAGGCGCGCGGGAGGGTCCGCCCGGCGGGGGAGGCTCGGGCGTGCGGGTGGAGTTGCGGGGACCCCGCCCTGGACACAGGGGAGTCCCCCCAGGTGACACCCCTGCGTATTTTCAGGAGTTCTGGTGCGATTGTGACGTTCTGTTGATTGTTTGGTCGTGGAATTTTAGAATTTCCCGCTCCCGTGAATTGTTAGAAAGCCGGAGTGTGGTTTTACGGGGTTCGTTGAACTTTTTCTCTGTAAAGATCCACCCAAGTTTACTGCCTTTCAGAAAACACCGTTTTATTACCGCCGTTTTATTACTGGAAGATGATGGTTCTGAATTTTGGGCGTTTCCCGTCACTTACGCGGTGTTGCCTGATGACACAGGAGGCTGTTGTTATCCTATGCATTGACTGAGGGTGGTTGGGTTAAGAATTTACCTTCCTTTTTTTTGGGGGGGGGGGATTGTCGTGGCTGTCACTCATCCATGTCCCCTGACCGGCTAACCCAGGGTGTCTCGCCAGGAGACAGTGTCCCAGAAGGCATGACCCCTGGAAAAGCGCTTTTCATCCTGAGCGCTTGCGCACTGATTCCATTTGGGGAAACATCTCAGGGCAAATCCAAGTCATGGTCAAGGATGTTGTACAAGGAAATGAATCCGGGAAAGCAGTGCTCACTGAACCATTTCTGGGAATTTCCTCCCAAAAACATGCATTACGTGCATCATTTCCTTTGAAATTGTGACCAATTTTTTTTTGAAAGATTTATTTAATTATGTATACAAGAACCGGGGTACAGCCCAGATGCGAGGGAGATAGAGAGGATTCACCAGACACAGCGGGGAACAGAACAGACAGACTGACGAAATACGCTATTGAGGGGAGCAGCGGGCGAGACAGGAGAGGTCTGCCTCGCCATGTGGAACCCTCGCTGGCCAGTCAGGATGAAACCAGCACTGCAGAGGCTGCTGACAGTGTCACAGCTAGCGCTCAACTGCCTGTGCCACCAGGGGAGTCCCAAGTGACCAATTTTTTTAAGAGATTTATTTATTTATACATGCAAGAACAGGGGTACAGGCCTGAAGTGTGGGGGGTGAGAGGGTTCAACAGAGGTAGAGTGGGGAACAGAACAGACAGGCTGAAATACAGTGCTGAGGGGAGCAGTGGGCGAGACAGGTGAGGTTCGCTATGCCCTGTGGGTAGCTCCCTGGCCAGCCGGATCCAACTTGTGGTGCAGTGCCTGTGGATAGGTTCATAGGTTGTGTCTTAACCCCTTGCGCCACCAGGGAGGCCTGTGACCAATTTTTTTAAAGTGATTAATAGTTTTGAAACTTTTGTTTAGGTCTTCGCATGAACTATTAGTCAGTCAGTAGGAAATACTAGTTTTATTAACCTACTGTAAATTGTAAACCCAGATTCTACCAGTAATTGACTTGTGGGTCCTTTTCCTGCCACTTCTCAAGGTGTGAACACGGCTGTCACACGCAGTGACTCTATGATCTCTCCCAGGCAGTGTGGGGAGCTCTGGAGAGGAGACTCCAGGACCCAGGTGCGAGCTCCTTCAGTCCTCTCCTGCTGGACTCCATTCACCTCTCCCAGCTCCACCACCACTCTCTCCAGAGTCCTTAGGCATTTGTGACAGCACCAGACAATGAATAAATCTGTGGTGAGTGATTTGTTTTCTTTAACTTGGCTCTGTAGTTAGGAACAGTGTTCCTCTGCTCATAGGTGTAGATGAACCTTTCTGTAATGAATTTTCACGTTTGTATAAATAACCTATAGAAGTATTGCTGATTATATGGAGTTTCCATTTTTTTTTCCTTCAAATCTCTGCACCATTATCTGCAGGGACTGTACCACTCTCGTGGCCGCCAGCTGTGGGTGAGAGCCCCTTTTTCTCTGCACCCTATCCAGAGTTGTTAATTTCACTCTTTTTTGTTTGGGCCATTTTCAAGGGGCGAGGTGGCATTTCAGTGTGGTTTTAATTTACATTTGTCTTACAGTATATTAAAGTGAACATTCCTATGTCTGTTGGACCTCAGAATTTCTTCTTTAGCGAAGTGTTTAGTTAGTTGACTCATTGGTTGGTTTCTCAGATTGGATGGCAACATTATAAATTTTGTTTTACATATTTTAATTTAAAAATTTTTTGTTATTTAAATATTTATTCATACAAGAGCTGGGGTGCAGGCCTGAGGTGTGGGGCTGAGTACATTCATCAGAGACAGAGTAGGGAGCAAAACAGGCAGATCTGTTGAAACACACTGCTGAGGGGAGCAACAGGCACAACAGAAGAGGTCTGCTGGGCCATGTGGTCACTTCCCTGGTCAGGAATCCAACTGGTGCTGCAGTGGCTGGGGATAGCCTCATAGTGTTGTGTCTCAGCCACCAGGGATACCCAGGAACATTATAAATTTTTGAAAGATGCCCTTTTCAGATGTGTCATGCAAATATTTTCTTTATATTCTATAGGATGCCTTTCTGTTTCTGTGCTGGTTTCTTTCTTTCTTTTTTTTTTTTTTTTTTAAGATTTATTTATTTATTTATACAAGCACTGGGTACAGTAAGAGGTGCGGGAGGGTGAGAGAATTCACCAGAGCCAGAGTGGGGAGCAGAACAGGCAGAAGGATGGACATACACTGCTGAGGGGAGCAGTGGGCGTGGCAGGAGAGGTCTGCAGGCCATTTGGGACCCTAGCCTGTGGCCACAGGGATCAAACCAGTGCTGCAGAGGCTTTGGGCAGCTTCATAGCCCAGTGCTCAACCGCTGCACTACCACTGGGGAGGCCCTGTGCTGGTTTCTTTGAGTTCCAAAAGCTTTTAGGTTTGGTGTGTTGCCCCACTTGTTGAATTTTGCTTTTGTTTCCCTTGGTTTTGGGGATGTGTTCCCTGATACATTTTGTAGCAGCTCTCCTGGAGTGTACCCCTTTATTTGCTTCAGTACTTCATGCTTTGGGCTCTTCTGTCCAAACGTTTAATCCATTTGGAATTCGTTTTCTGTATGGAGTTTTGAATGGGTCTTGGTTCTTATTTTGCAAGTCACTTTACATGTTTCCCAAAAGCATTTTTTGGGAAGATAAATTTATTTATGCATGGAAGAACTGGGGTGTAGACCAGATGTTCAGGGGTTGAGAGGGTGCTGCGACCCAGCTGCAGCAGCCTGGGTGTCAGGGGTTCCTGAGGGATGGGATGGCTTTGGTGCAATTGTGGGGTGAATGAGGGGGAGGGGGAATGAGGAGACACTGACACTTGATCAGGGTGCAGACATCATCCTGCCTAGGGTCTCAGCAGCCCTTTATTTATACATTTCAAGCAAACCGTGAGAGTGCATAAGCACATGCATTAAGGCATGAAGATAACAATCATGTCTTTCTCAAGAACAGCCAAGGGTCTATTTGCCCTCCTGCAGAGGTCGTGACATTTATTATTTTTTGGTTTAAAGAGGGCACAGTTGCTAAACAAAAGTGTTCTTAAAATAGTCATTTACTTTAAACAACCAGTCATTTTATTACTAGCAAAAACTTATGTGACTGAAACTAACAGTTCTATGTTTGCCATAGTGAACGATTAACTGAGGGCTCAGGGAAACAAAGCACAGGAAGTTACCTGGGGGAACAAAGCACAGGAAGTTACCTGGGGGAAGGACGATGTATTGACTTTTCCCTAGCCCTAAGCTCTCAATTAAGGGAGGAATTTTCCTAATCTAACAAAAGAGTTTTCTACCTATTACTCCTCTACTTATGTAGTCAGCCAGGTTTCCATATCTAAGTTTAAGATCAAGGGAAAATTCCTTTTTCTGTAAGATTGCTGATTGTTGTTTTAAGGAACTACAAATATTTCATCAGAGGCAGGGCTGGAGATGGTTATAGCTTTTGGTTCTCAAAATGGTTAATATGTGACATATCAGCAGTTGTAACACTATTTCCAAGTGCTTTATTTGTGCTGCCATGGTTATTAGCTCAACCAGTCACAAAATTGTGTTGACCTGTTCTTGAATGCATACTCTAACAGCTACCATACCAATTGTCACATCTAGGGGAATACAGAATCAGCCCTAAATAAACAGGAAGAATTTAGCAGGAACCGGCTATGGCGGCTATGGTGCCTCCTGGCTTATTTGAATTTTCTTACACTTGGAGCATGGCTCACCTCTGCCACTGAACTGCTATCTTTAACTTTAAAGTAAAAGAATTTCCTTCTCCAATTAGCCCATGCCTCAAAAGACCACATATCCTTATTAAAGACTTGGCCTAGGGATGTTTACAGCCTTTTGTTCCCAGAAGTTTTTTCACTTGTTAATGTAAGGCCCAATGTTGAATTACTGCCTTTTGGCAGAGAATTACTAATTTTATAAAAAAATGTAATATTTGTATTATGCAATGCCATTTGCCATCAAATTGGTAATTTAGTAATTGATCAAAAAGCATTTGTAGTTTTGCCTTTAAATGCGTATTTTAACAATGGTAGAAACTAGCCATAAACAAATGAGGAGAATCTAGCAGGAGTCAGCTAACGAGATTCCTGACTTTTCAGGAATCTGCCCCATGCCTGGACCTTTGTCAGACGACATGAGTAGCATGGCTCCCAGTAAGAGGGTTCACCAGAAAGAAAGTAAGGAGCAAAACAGGCAGAACACTGCCCAGGGAAGCAGTGAGAGGGACAGGTGAGGTCTGCTCTGCCCCATGTGGGTCAGCTCTCTGGCCTGGAATAGCCATGATAGCACTGACTCTTAACCTCTTGGCCACCAGGGGCACCCCATCCCAGTACTATTTGTAAAAGAAGCTATCTTGTTGAAATTGTATGATTTTTAAGCTCCTTTGTCAAAGACGATCTCTTTTAGTTCTCTGATTTTTCTCTCTGGGTTTTTAATTGCCTTCCATTGCTCTGAGTTCTGCTTTTGTTCCAGTAAAATAATATTTTGATTACTGTTGGTGTTACATATATTTTGATGTCAGAAAGTGTGATAGTTATATTTTCTTTTCTCTCAAGAATTTTTGCTATTCGGGACCTTCTGTGGGTTCATATAAATGTGGTGATTGTTCTGTTTCCTTACAAAATACCTCCTTGGTATGTGGATAGGTATTGCATTAAATTTGTAAATTGCTCTGGACAATAAGGCTATTTATGATGTTAATTTTTCCCACCTAGGAGCACAGGACATCTTTTCTATTTCTTTGTATGTTTTATTTCCTTTAATAGAGTTTTATAATTTTCAGTGTTCAGGTTCTTTCCTGTTTAACTTTTACTTTAATGAAATAATCAGTTATTTCATTATATTTGGTGTGAATGTATCACTGTAAATGCCAGTCATTTTGTTATAGGACAGGGAGAGGGGCAGCCCAAACCCCGCAAACCTGCCTATTCTAAATGGGTTCTGCTATCCGCCGCATCAACACAAAACATATGAGACTTTAATGGAAAGGAACTTTAATAAAACTAGGAAACAATACAGGTAAGCAGAGAGTCTAGTTTCTAAATGAAGCACCCAAAGTTACCCGTCCCCTCGTGGGTAAAAGTCCATCTGCAACAGGGTGGTCCCCAGGAAAGGGGGAGGTTCCCTGCCCCACCCAAGGGAGAGTGGAGCTGAGCAGGAAGAGGAGAAGCTGCAGAAGAGACTAAGGAAGGAAGCAGGATGGAGCCAGGAGACTTGGAGGAGGCTCATGGAGCCTAGAGACACGTGAAGAAACTGCGTTTGTCTTTTGGTCGTGGACTGGGAGACACAGATGTGGGTGAGACCCGTGGGGAGGTGACCATGGCAGCTTTTATCTTGATGTTGATTTTGCTCTTTTCCTTCGGGGCTTGTCCGGTTGTTTGTGACCCTTTTCTGTGGGTCCCCACTGGAAGATGCTGTAGACTTGTGGCAGGCTTTGGGGCCTTGTTCTGGGCCGATCCCATTTGGATGGAGTTTTACCCACGAGGGGATGGGTAACTTTGGGTGCTTGATTTAGAAACTAGACTCTTTGCCTTACCTGTATTATTTCCTAGTTTTATTAAAGTTCCTTCCCATTAAAATTTCATATGTTTTGTGTTGATGCGGCGGATGGCAGAACCCATTTAGAATAGGCAGGTTTGCGGGGCTTGGGCTGCCCCTCTCCCTGTCCTATAACACATCCATATGGGATCAGCCTAGAGCAAGGCCCCAAAGCCTGCCACAAGTCTAAAGCATCTTCCAGTGGGGACCCACAGAAAAGGGTCAGAAACTATCAGACAAGCCTGGAAGGAAAAGAGCAAAATCAACATCAAGATAAAAGCTGCCATTGTCACCTCCCCATGGGTCTCACCCACATCTCTGTCACCCTGTCCACGACCAAAAGACAAGCTCAGTTTCTTCACGTGTCTCTAGGCTCCATGCGCCTCCTCCAGGTCTCCTGGCTCCATCCTGTTCCTTCCTTCTTCAGTCTCTTCTGCAGCTTCCCCTCTCCCTGTTCAGCTCCACCCTCTTGGGTGGGGCAGGGAACCTCCCACTTTCCTGGGGACCACCCTGTTACAATTTCACATACATTCTCTTCATAACTTGTTTATACTTTCAGAGAAATAAACGAAAAATTTTATCATGTATTCAATTGTAAAAATTATAAAATAGTTCAACATATATAATGGACCCTAAGGGTTCAAATATGATGGGCTTTTTTTTGTTGTTGCTTTGCTTAGGATTTGATCATTGCCCACAATTTTCTTCCAGTCTTTCAGCTCAGTTTCTACTATGAATTTTCCAATTTTCCTGCTGTCCTCCTTGCTGTACAAAAATGTGCTCTTGGGTCAGATCTGACATCATGAGATTATAGTGTCCACGGTGGTTTCGTGGGCATAATTGATCCTCTGTGCTCAGTGGGTGCATTAGACTATTACTGTGTGAGCTAGGATCTCACTGGGTAAGGGTTATCTTCTCTTTCAGAAACAGGTCTCCCTTTTTTTTTTTTTTTAAAGATTTATTTAGGGCCTCCCCTGGTGGCGCAGTGGTTGAGCGCTGGGCTGCGAGATTGCCCGCAGCCTCTGCAGCGCTGGTTTGTTCCCCGGCTGCCGGCGAGGGTCCCACAAAAAAAAAAAAAAAAAAAAAGAAAGATTTATTTATACATAAATTGCTGGGGCACAGGCCAGAGTTGAAGGGGATGAGGAGGGGGATAAGATGATTCATCAGGGGCCTCCCCTGGTGGCCCAAGCCATTGAGCGCCGGGCTGTGAAGCTGTCCCAGCCTCTGCAGCGCCAGTTCGATCCTGGCTGGCCGGCGAGAGTCCCACATGGCGCGGTGGACCTCTTCTGTCACACCCGCTGCTCACCTCAGCAGTGTATTTCAGTCAGTTTGCCTGTTCCATTCCCTGCTCTGTCTCTGGTGAATCCTCTCACCCTCCCGCGCATCTGGCCTGTACCCCGGTTCTTGTATAAATAAATAAATAAATAAATAAATAAATAAATAAATAAATCTTTTTAAAGAAAGATGATTCATCAGAGATAGTGGGGAGCAGAACAGGCAGGTCTATTGAAATACACTGCTGAGGGGAGCAGCGGGTGAGACAGGAGAGGTCTGCTGTGCCATGTGAGTCATATCCCTGACCAGGGATCAAACTCGTCCTTCAGTGGTTGTCATAGCTTCATAGTGTTAAGACTGAAGCCCTTGTGCCACCCTGGGGGCTCCTAAAAACTGTCTTTTCACCTCATATCCTGTTCAGAGCTCTGCTGTTGGCCATGTGGTAATTGTATATTTTGATTTCAGGAACCCTTGACCTTCAGAGATGTGGCCATAGAATTCTCCCGGGAGGAGCAGGACTGCCTGGATCAGGCACAGTGGAAATTGTATCGGGATGTCATGTTAGAGACCTACAAAAATATGGTGTCGTTGGGTGAGGAGAACATCCCTCCAGATTTCCTCATCTGCCCTTAGCGTTTCCTGTGCTGTGTGTGGGTATGCTCCTGGGATGTCCAGATTTATGGGTACATTTAGATCCCTACTTTAAGGAAAAACTGTGGGTTTGTTGGAAAGAAAGTCTCATGCTGTTTCATCATGACTGAAACTTCTCCTCTCTTAGGGTGATATGCAGCCTGCTGTCTCTATTAGTGCTCATTCAAGATAATCAGTGCCTTAAGTGTTATTGCTATATGCTACAATCCCAGCTTCTACCACATTCCTAGGACTCAGGTCTAGATACGGTTCTTGGGATATGAAAATTTCAATGGTTTCTGGTAAAGGTGCTGTCAGAAAAAGTATTTGCATTGATCCTTTTCTAGAACCTTGTATACTCTCCTCTCTACTAAGCACAATACTGTATTGGGAATTGAGAATCTCCAGGTCATCTCATATCACCTGTCCTAATAAACAGGTCTTGCGGTATCTAAGCCTGACCTGGTCACCTTGTTGGAGCAAAAGATGGAGCCCAGGGATGTGGAGAGAAGTGCAAATCCCATCATCCTCCCAGGTATGTGGAATGAATCCAGCGGAAAACAGCTGAGAGATGCGGTGGTCAATAGGAAAGCATCCTAAATATATGAGAATCTCTGTTTCAGTGGCTGCAGACATGCTCCTATTTTGTCTTGGAATCTTAGTCTTGCTGTCCCTTGGGGCCGTCTCCTCTTTGACACTTGAGTCCTAGGCCTTTCCTGCTTACTGAATTGAGCAAAGGTTTTTCTATTTTGTTGATCTTTCAAAATCCAGACTTACTCTCATAGACGAGCTCCTGCTTTTTTGCCATGATTATACATTTATATATTTCTTATTTATTTTTAAATGTTCTCCTTTCCGCAAATATGGAGCTTAAATTGTTCTTTTTCTAATACCTTGAGGTGTGAAGTTATGTTGCTCAGCTGAGATCCCTCTTATTGCTCATATAATTGTTTAATTCTTTAAATTGACCTCTTAGTATTGTTTTCTGAATCCCACATGATTTGGGGAGTTTGCTTTGTTTCAGTGTTTTCTCAGTATTTCTTAGTTTTTTGGAATCAAGGATTTGGTTTACCTTGCTCTACGTGATTCAGGGAATAGATTCTCATCTCCTCAGATGTCTGTCACCACCACACCCACCACCAGTGCATTGTGGGCTTCTCCAGAGATCTTTGAACCCCTCCCACTTTCGTACCCACACCCACTGTTGCTACCTCCTCAGTAACCTTCCAGTCTTCAATCCTATTTCTGGACTTTATTTTGGTTTGTATTGTCAGTTTCTTTGCTGTCTTTTTCCAAAGTCCAAATAGGAGTGAATTCATCCAGTAAGTCTTTCTCCTGATTCACTTCACTGAGCATAATCCTCCCCCATAATTGCATCCTTGTTGTTACAAATGGTCCGATGTATCCTTTTTCATAGCTCAGTAGTCCATCCTGTGTGTGTATATATATATATATATACCACAATTTCCTTTTTTTCTTTTTTTAAGATTGATCCATTTATGCATACAAGAGCTGGGGTACAGGCCAGAGGTATGGGGGTGGGGGTGAGAGGATTCACCAGAGACAGAGTGGGGAAGAAAACAGGCAGTCAGGGGTGGTTTGCTGCGCCATTTGGGTTGCTCCCTAGCCGGCCAGGGATCTCACCTGTGTTGCCGAGGCTGCGGACAGCTTCATAGGTTGCGTATTAACCCCTTGTGCCACCAGGGAGGCCCCACATAGTCCTTTTAGAATTATTTTTCACCCCTGTTTGTCAAGTCAAGTTCTTGAATTTATATAATTATTTTCCTTCCAGATGTAATTGGGGCTTGAACCTCTCCTTGATTTTATTGTTCTCCTCTTCTGCATTCATTTCTGTCTTTGTGTGCTATACACATTCAGGACCTCATGTTAGTGCATATGTAGTATTACAATGCTTCCCAATACATGTAGTTTTCTGTTATTTTCTTGAGGCATTCTTTTCATTCTGTGATGCTTTAGACTCAGATCATATTATTCTGATATTAGTGTGATCAACACTCAATTTTCATGATCAGTTTTCACAGAATCTAGTTCCATACTTACATTCCACATGGTGCACTGAAGTCTATGTTGAGTTTCATATAGGTAAGATTGAATTGGTCTTACTTTTAATTCCTTCAGACACATTTGTCATTTTCATGTGGGCTTTTAATTAATTTACACACACAGTATTTCTGCAAGGGAGGCGTTTATTAGAAAATGATTCCTGTATTCTCAGCCCCTTTATACCTTATTTCTTCCCTAGTGCATCTCCATATTATTCCTCTCTCCTTTCTTGTTGGTGATTTCCCTCCAATTGCTCACATTTTATATACTAATTGATGTATATTGGATTGTAATATTATTTACAAACATTGTAAAGCATTGTCCCCCAACCTATTACACATAATGTCATTCTCTGTTTTCATTTCCTTTTCCATGTATTTTACTGGTATCTTTTTTGTCATAATAGGGATTAGACAACATGTTGAAAAGTTATGACAGCCTTATCTAAACTGAAAACAATGTAAATTCAACCGCATACCAAAACTCAGCTGTTTACCATTTACCTATCCCTATGGACATCACGAATTATGTCTCATTATATTTGTATTCTACTACATAGTTCTTTTTTTTTTTTTTTTTTTTTTTTTTTTTGGTGCCATCTATCCAAATTCTCAAGCAGAAACAATATTTTTGCTGTAGGATTATATATCATGCCATTTTCTTTATTTGCTATGTATTTATCTTTCCCTGAGGACATGACCTTTTCGTAGGCATATGTGTTGCTAGCTAGTGCTGATGTTACATATATTAAATAGTTAAAATACTCCTTTTTTTTTTGAGTGCTGTAAGTGGAGTGATTATTCCTTGCTGTCTCGCAGCCATGTCTTCTGAAGACGACCATGTCTCCATGCGACAGTTAGGCAGAGAAGGTTTGTTCCTAAATGTGGGACTGGGAGGAGATGGAATGGACACCGTTGAGAATTTAGATATTGAGGAGTCCTCAAAACTTCTCCAGTATCAGACAATTCGTGAGAAACCTTACAATTGTGAGGAATATGGCAAAGCTAACAAATGCTGCTCAAGACTTACTGAACATCAGAGAAAGAAACGGCACAAATGTGAAGTGTGTGTTAAAGGCTTTTGTCGGCATTCACAGCCGACTCGACATCTAAGGAGTCATACTGGAGAAAAGCCTTACACGTGTCCAGACTGTGGTAAAACCTTTGTATATATGTGTTGCCTTTCCCAACATCAGAGAGTTCATAATGGTGAGAAACCATACAAATGTGAAGAATGTAAGAAAGCCTTTAGGCTGAAGTCAAGTCTTATTCAGCATCAGAGAATTCATATTGGCCAGAAAGCTCACCAATGTGAAGTATGTGGCAAAGCCTTTAAGAAAATGTCAAAACTTACTCGACATCACAGAATTCATACTGGGGAGAAACCTTATAAATGTGAAGAATGTGGCAAAGCCTTTACCTGGATGTCCAATCTTTCTGGCCATTACAGAATTCATGCTGGGGAAAAGCCTTACAAATGTAAAGAATGTGGCAGAGCCTTTAACTGGCTATCACGTCTTTCTGACCATTACAACAGTCATACTGGGGAAAAGCCTTACAAATGTAAGGAATGTGGGAAAGCCTTTAATAATCGTTCAAGTCTTACTGGACATCACCGAAGTCATATCAGGCAGAACTCTTACAAATGTAAAGAATGTGGCAAAGCCTTTTACCAAAAGGCAAAACTTACTCGACATCATAGAATTCATACTGGGGAGAAACCTTTCAAATGTGAAGAATGTGGTAAAGCCTTTAACCGAAAGGCACATCTTACTCGACATCATAAAATTCATACTGGGGAGAAACCTTACAAATGTGAAGAATGTGGCAAAGCCTTTAACCAGAAGGCAAATCTTAGTCAACATCATAGGATTCATACTGGGGAGAAACCTTACAAATGTGAAGAATGTGGCAAAGCCTTTAACCAGAAGGCAAATCTTAGTCACCATCATAGCATTCATACTAGGGAGAAACCTTACAAATGTGAAGAATGTGGCAAAGCCTTTAACCAGAAGGCAAATCTTAGTCACCATCATAGCATTCATACTAGGGAGAAACCTTACAAATGTGAAGAATGTGGCAAAGCCTTTAAGCAGAAGTCACGTCTTATTCTACATAATAGCATTCACATCAGAGAGAAGTGTTAAAATTGTGAAGTTCATTTTTTGACTTTAGTCTCTTTAACCAGAAGTCCAGAAGTTTAACCAGAAGTGACAAAGTGATTATCCAAAAGTCAAATCATCCTCAACATCAGAGAGTGCCTGCTGAGAGAAACCCATAAATGGAAAGTGAGAATAGATTGTCCAAATATATATTTTGAAACCACCAGATTTTCATACTGGGAACGTTAAAGAAGAGAAAATAGGAGAAAGTAATTTATAATGAAAATTAGGTGCATATTAAGACATTACAGTGCAGTAGGAAGTTAATTCCACTTGTGAGACATTACCTAAAGTGAGAATATGGTTTTGGAGCATAAACCAAGATTAAAACACTAAATGTTAGTATAATTTAAAAGTTCAAGAGGCCTCCCTGGTGGCACAGGGGTTAAACTGAGCATTCTGAAGCTATCGGCAGCCATTGTAGCACAAGTTCGATCAGTGGCCAGGTTGTGGACCCAAATGGAGCAGCAGACCTCTCCTGTCTTGCCTGCTGCTCCCCTCAGCAGTGTTCTTTTTTTTCAAGATTTATTTATTTATACAAGCACTGGGTACAGTCAGAAGCGCGGGAGGATGAGAGATTTCACCAGAGCCAGAGTGGGGAGCAGAGCAGGCAGAAGGACCGAAGTACACTGCTGAGGGGAGCAGCAGGCGGCAGGAGAGGTCTGCGCGCCATGTGGGACTCTCCTCCGGTGGCCAGGTTGCAGCTGGGGATTGAACCGGCACTACAGAGGCTGCTGTCAGCTTTGCAACCCAGGGCTCATCCGCTGTGCCACCGGGGAGGCCCAGCAGTGTTATTTCTTTGTATCCACCTGTTTTGCTCCCTACTCTCTCTGGTGAATCCTCTCACCTCCCACACCTCTGGCCTACACCCCAGCTCTTGTATGCATAAATAAATAAAATGAATCTTTAAAAAACAAATAAAAGTTGAAGACAATGGTTTGGGGACATGTATAGTTATTTTCTATGTCCTTTTTTATCGGTCATAACTTGAGATATGAAGAGACATGAGGAATGTAAATCAGCCCTAAATCACTTCATTCTGTGGCTTTCTTCTCATACGTACATGAAGTCATGTGTTTGATTTTTGCTGCCTCAAACATCTAAGGGACCCTTCTCTAATGGATGGATTTGCTCACATCTAACTTGCTCCACCAAATTTAAGATGGCGTCATAGATCATGCATGAAGAACATCTAAATGGATATGCTGTTTGTGGTTGACCCAAAAGATGGGTCTAAATCACCCTGAAGAGTCATGGGCTTCATTGTTGGCATAAAAGTCAGACAGAGAAACATGCTAAAGTTTAAAGCATTTCATCATTTTTTCCTTAGGGAATACCCTGACAGTTTATTAAACTCCGGTGTTTCTTCATGGTAGTAATAGAGATCATGAATATTATTTGATGTTGTTGCCAAAAGAAATCTTCACAGGGACATGATGAAAGACCAGGTGACTTTCAAAAGGGCATAGAATTCTTGCCCATTTACATTAGCTAAGTAAAGGGTCTATGTTGAACACTAACTGATATTAAAGGGTCCAGAATGCTTCTTAAATGAGAAATAGCATACAGAGCTATCTGAATGTCTTATTAGACTATGTGTAAACTTTATATATGTATTAATAATTCTGATTGATTTTTAATGTGGTCATGTTGATGTGTACTTGATAACAAGTTCTTGCTCATCAGCATTAGCCAATTCCTCCATTTTAAGGCTTTTGGTAACAGATGAGAACAATAAGATGGTTGTCTACACAGTGTTATGTCATCACTTGCAGGCTCTGTTCTCAGATACCTTATATCTGAAATAGTTTTGACTGTATTTTGAAGAACTACACACTTCTTTTTGTTCTGATAGTAACCCTGGATGTTGTTGAGTGTGTTTAATATAATGGTGGAGTATTTTGAAGAATTTTTGCTGCAAACACTTCATGATATTGGTGCTTTGCTATCCATTTTTTGTACATAAACTATCTCTGGGGACCCTGAAGTGACACCAGACCCTCTTTTAGAGGTTCCTGCTATATTCCTTTATGACACTCTGCATGATCACAAGGAAATACAAATTCTTCACCTGACTTCACATGCAGACATTGTCATGCCTCTCCTGTGTAAGGGCCTCCCCTTGATTGGACCTGGGTAAAATCTTCACAGGGCTGACAATAGACAATACTTAGTTACTTACATTAAGTATTACTTACTGTATTTCTCCCTTTAGTTTACCTGGAGTAACACAGTCTTCAGAATCTTTGAAAAACTCTAGTTAGGGACCTTTTCATGGCCTTCAAACACATATTGTCCTAGATTTAATATATATTTAATCCAACATGTAAATACATTGAGACATTACTTAGGAATGGTTGGGGGAAAAATAATTTGGTGTGTCTGTTTATATTACGGGCATTCGGGAGAGCAGGGTAGCATTTTGTGATGTCACTGGCTTGGACAGCAGTTGCTTATTTTTAGGAGAAGAGGTGATTACTTATAAAATGGGACTGTTTGTGGGAGGTGTCTTGCAGGATGGAGGCATCCTTTATTCCATTTCTGGAAAAATCAGGATAGTGCCAGCAGCTCACACTGACATCTTTTAAGAAATGGAATGAGGGGACTTTGACTCAGCCATGACGGCCTTCAGCAGATTCTGGGCAAGACAGCAGTGCAAGGATAGAATGAGGTCTAAGGATACAGTCCCCTGCTGGTCTTCTGGCGACCAGGAAGGTAAAGTCTAAACACAAAAATGCCTTAGTTGGAGTTTGATCTAGATGGCTGACCAGGTAGTCTTCCATGCTCCACCCTTCTAAGGATGCAGCTCCAGAACTACAAAGGGGAGTTGTGAGGAACCCGATCCGGAACTCAATCATTTGAGTACATAAAAAGGTCCACTGCTTAAAAAAAAAAAAAAAAAAAAAAAAATTTCTGCATGTAAGAACTGGGGGTGTGGGCCATTGGTGTGGTGGATGGTGCGGTGGTGAAAGGATGCACCAGAGAGTGGGGAGCAGGTGAACTGAAAACCACTGCCCAGGGGAGCAGCAGGGAGAAAGGAGAGGTCTGCTGGGCCATGTGGGTCAGCTCCCTGGCCAGGATCAAATTCAAGCACCAGAAGCTGGCAATACCTTGAAAGTTCTGAGACGTTAACCTCTTCACTCCCGAGGGGGACCCAGTTACTTTCCTATTCGCCGCAGACATGAACCAGTCCTGGCGTCCCCGTGTTCAGGGGCCCCGCGCACCTGTCCATTTTCCCTCAACCTCCACTGATCCCACCTTTTGGCTGCAAAATCCACCCTTGTCGCCTGACGAGTGGCGCGCAGAATTGTGGGAAATGTATAGTCTGGCGCCCACACCGTATCGGCCCCAGGCTCTGGGGCGTGGCTTACAGGTGCTGCGCGGCTGCGGCCCCGCCCGCCCACCTTTTGCCGGAAGTTTCGGTGCTTCTGCTCAGGCTACGGTGTCCACGAGTTTCACCTGCACTTTGTGTCTGAAGGCTGGGTTTGGGGTGAAGCTGAGGATCCGTGTGCGGGTGTGGGGAGAAGGGGGAGACCGGGCTTTGCGGATACGGTAGAGAGCGCGTAGAGAGCGCGTCGGGTGAGGCCTGAGGGCGGGTGAAGGGGAGGGAGCCCGTGGCTCTTGAGCAGTCCACGGAGGGTCAGCCCAGCGGGTGAGGCGTGGGAGTGTGGGTGGGGGTGCCGCCCTGGACGCAGATGAGCCCCTCCAGGTTACACCCCTTCATATTTTCCGGAATTCTAAATGTGATTGTGACGTTAGTTGATTGTGTCCCGGAATTGAAGATTTCCTCGCCCGCAACATAACCTTTTAGAAGCAGTGGGTGTGGCATGGATCTGTCACTCAGCATTTTCCGTGTGACCCTCCACCCAAGATTACTGACTTAAATAAACAGCAGCCGTTTTTTTCCTGGACGTTGGGTGGTTCAGCATTTGGTGTCTATTTTCCCGTACAGGTCGTCTGCTGGTGCGTTTGGGAAGACACAGAAGGCTGTGGTTACCCTGTGCCCCCACCTAATCTGGTTGCATAAGAATTTCACCGCCATTTTGGTGGGTTTATCGTGGCTGTCCCTTGCCATGTGCCCCTGACAGGCGACCCCCAGTGTCTTCCCAGGAGGACACTGTCCCGGAAGGCAGGACCTCGGGACATGTGCTTTTCATCCTATGTTTATCCTCACTGATTCCCATTGGGTAAACGTCCCAGAGCAAATCCCAGTCATTGCCAAAGGTGGTGTCCAAGGAAATAACTAGAGGGAATCAGGGCTCACGGAACCATATAGTCTACCAAAAATGTACATTAGCTGCGTTTTTTCCTATGAAATTGTGGTCAAGAATTTTGTATGTGGTTAAACATCTTTTTATTTTTAAGATTTACTTACTTACTTACTTACTTATACAAGCACTGGGTACAGTCAGAAGCGCGGGAGGGTGAGAGAATTCACCAGAGCCAGAGGAGAGGGGAGAGCAGGCAGGCTGAAGTACATTGCTGAGGGGAGCAGTGGGCCTCAGGAGAGGTCTGCACGCCATGTGGAACCTCGCCTGGGGGCGGGTATCGAACCGGTGGTGCAGAGGCTGCGGGCAGGTTCGCACTCCAGTGCTCAACCGCTGAGCCACTGGGGAGGCCCTGTGCTTAAGCATCTTAGAAAATTTTTTTTTAAGTTTCTGAACATTGAGTTTCTTGGATAATCAGTCTTATTTTTGTTAGGGGAAAATGATGTCCTGAGTAAAACTCTTTACAGGCTATGTGGATGCCACCCCCACTCCATCAACACCCTGGGAACTAGAAATCCCATGATCCCCCAAAGGGAAGTTGCAGGACCTAAGGGCGGAGCTAAGCATCCATTTTCTCTGTTTGTAACCAAAACCCAGCCATGCCAGTGGGATCTCAGGAACTTGGCCGGGCAGGTTTGGTCTCACAGGGTCATTTCGGATTACAGGTCTGTGGAACAGGTAGGACGCATTTAAGAATTTATCTCCCTCTTTTCCCCCTGAGTTGTACATTTCCTCATTCCCCTTCCCTTGTAAATAAACATTTTGTTAACCTTTTGTGTGTGCCTGCAGTGTAAGTCCCTTTTAAGTGTGCAGGTGAGCATGCAGGTGAGGTCAGGCAACTCATTGAAGAGCAGGGTTGCCTGTAACATTTTGACACAGGCAGGTAGGACGGATGGGGGAGGGGAAATTGGGCTCTGCCCTCATGCTCATGCAGAGTAGAGTCTGAAACTAGGTCTCGTTGATGTAGATGATGTAAGACAGTGGCTTTTCATCCCTCTGGAAGTAACTACTTCCTGAGTTCTGCACTGGTCAGGTGTGTCATGAGGGGAGGGAAAGGAATGGTACCTGAGGACCTGAGTGCAGAATGGGCATTAAGGAGCCACATGTCATTTAAAAAGGACGGCTTAATTTTTAAGATTTTTGTGCTGTTATGAAAAAATATAGTGTGTCCCAGACAATGATTGGAGGCTCTTGCATGCAGTGATCAGTGTTGACAATGTATGACATTGAGTCCTATGGGGGAGTCCTTATATACCTGATCCTGCATTTTGCTCAGGTGGTCTGTAAAGCCAAGGTGTCCAGTTTACTGTTCAGAGTCCTATTTTCTGGCAGTTGTTTGCACTGTTCCTTAGCATTTCACCTTGGTGTAGTCTGAATGCATTTCTAGTGACACTCACCAACACCCTTAGTTGTTCTCAAGTCTAGTTAGATTTCTCTAGCCTTTGCCGTCCCAAAATGTCCCGCCATATTTGACAATACTGTGTGTGACCTTGGGTAAACATTGTATTTTTTAAATTGTTTAAAGCCTTATACTTCTTTGCATGTTCCTTTATTTTTGGCGTTCTCAATCTCCTTTGACATCTGTGGCATTAAAAGCCACAGTGGGTGTCCCTGGTGGGGCAAGGGGTTAAGATGAACCTATGAAGCTGTCTGCAGCACCAGCAGATCGAGTTTGATCCCCAGCCAGGGATCTACCCACATGGCGCAGCAGACCTCTCCTGTCTCCCCGCTGCTCCCCTCAGCAGTGTATTTCAGTCAGTCTGCCTGTTCTGCTCCCCACTCTGTCTCTGGTGAATCCTCTCACCGCCCACACCTCTGGCCTATACCCCAGGTCTTGTATGCATAAATAAATAAACCTTAAAAAAACGTTATCTACTGAAAAAAAAATTGCTTCTACTGTGTGTATTTTCCTATGTTCTTAATGGGTTTTGCCTTACCTTTTTTTTTCTCCCTGTACCAAACCACCATCTGCTTCCCTCCCTAACTTCTCCACTTTCCCTCTTCCCACTGGTAACCTTTATCTTCATTTTGCCTTGTTCAAGTTGTATTCCTACTCTATTTTGCCTGTAAATATTTTTTGGGTATTTATTTTCCACAGATGAGTGAAGCCATCTGGCATCTGTCTTTACTTTTTCACTTATTTCACTCAAGATAATCTCCTCCTGGCCCACCCATTTTGTCCTGAGGGCCAGCCCTTGCTTCTTCCTCACAGCCCTGCTGTGTTCCACGGCGTGTGCTCCACCCTTCCTGTCCCTGCCTCTGTTGAAGGGATGCAGGTTGCGCCATGACTGGGCAGTGGGAAGTGTGCTGCTCTGCTCACAGGTGTAGATAAATCTTTTTGTATTTGAGTTTTTTACGCTTGGATAAATAATGTATAGAAATATTGCTGATCATATGTAATGTCCATTTTTATTTCCTTAAGAAACCTCTGCACCATTATCCACAGGGACTGTACCAGCTTTCATGGCCACCTGCTGTGGATTAGTTCTCCTTTTCACTGCACTTCTCCAGTGTTATTAATTCCATTCTTTTGTTTGGGCCATTCTGAAGGTGTGAGGTAGAATTTCAGTGTGTGGTTTTAATTCATATTTCTCTTACAGTAAGTTAAGCTTTATTTTTCCTGGTGGTGGTTGAGCATTTTCAAGTGTTATGACCCGCTTGCATATCTGATTTGCAGAACTGTGTATTCCACTACTTGGCTCATTTCTGAACATTCCATTTTGAAAATGGTCAAAGGAGGAAGGGATTGTATTGTCTCATTTTGTCATACAGTCCATTTATGGCTTCCTGAGCCCGCTGATGCTGGGAGGGACAGTGAATTTTTGTGCACAGAAATGAGCCATTCACCTTCTCTCTATTGTTAATTGTTTCATTTCTCATATTAACGTTTTTACCAATTAGACCTATGAATAAGAATGCATTTTTGTTTTCATAGAACTGTGTTGTGAGCGTGGTTACCTTGGGAGAATTGCTGTCAGTGCAGTGCAGATTCATCTCACCCTGGATCCTGTTGTGTCTTTGCATTTGTTTAATTCCTTTTTTAAACTTCTAGGTTTTCTTTTATTCCAGCTCACACTCTGCCCTTGGTTCTGTTATGCATTGCTGGTGTTTTGTCATTTAATTGGTATCGTGTGGGAGCTCCTGTGTATGTGAAGACTTGTATGTTATTTTTATAGTCTGCTTATTGGATTTTCCTTTCTAGAGTCACTTTACTGATTGTCATTAGTTTTCCAAGGATGAATTATAACTAGTTATGACCATTTTTACTTAGGTTTTCTTTTTTCTCTTGTGTGGAGTCACCCTAACCCATTGTGAGTAAGGGGAAACTAACCTTCTCTCACTGTGAATGTTGATTTCAACTGTGGCTGTGTCAAGGATGTTGAATTGTGTTAAAGAAAAATCCTCTGATTGTTGTGTGGGGTTCTATTCAATATGTATGTGGATGTACGTAGGATTTTCTATACAGGAAATGAGATGGTGGAATACATTAACAGATTTCTTAAGATTGAGGTTTCCATATACCTACTGTCATCTTTTCCAAAGGTTTTTCATTTCTATTACCTATTTTTTCTTTCTCCAATAGAAATATTAGTCTCTTCCAGTTGTTTTCTCTCTTCTTTCAGTACATTTGTTCTGGTCGACCATGTTATTTCCTATGACGATGAAAACCATCAATAATATTCCAGAGATTACAAAATTTCTTTTTTTTAAGATTTATTTTATTTATTTTATGCATACAAATGCTGGGGTGTAGGCCAGAGGTGCAAGGGGTGAGAGGATTCACCAGAGACAGAGTGGGGAACAGAACTGGCAGACTGAGTGAAATATACTCCTTAGGGGAGCATCGGGGAGATGGGAGAAGTCTGATGCGCCCTGTGGTTTAGCTCCATTGCTGGGGATGGAACTTGTGCTGCAGTGGCTGCCAATCGCTTCATAGTGCTGAGTCTTAAACCCTTCTGCCACCATGGAGGCCCTGATTCCAATATTTCTATGCTCACTTTAGACTTCGTGATCTATAAGACACATGTCAATTGTGTGTGGAATACCAATACAACTGGTCATGCAGACAGCATATCAGGAAAACATTCCTTGTACCTAGCCACCAAGTTATTACTGAGTTCTCCTCCCCTTTACCCCTCTGTGTTTGAGGTGATGACTTGTTCTGTATTCTTATGACTCTGTTAGTTGGACATCTCTTACCTCTGTTTCCTCCCCCCCTCCCCCCTCATTGAACATTCTGGTTTAGGGTCTAGCTTTTGTTTACTCCGAGCTGGAGATACTAGGCTTTGAGGTCACAGGAATAAAGTATTGCCACAAATTTTATACATGGTTTTCATTTATTGTGAAGCTCCTTTAGCGCATGATTCCAGGTATGTGTCTGTTATACCTGCCAACCAGGCCATAAGCTCTTCAAGGAGCAAATTTTATTCATCCTTTTATTCTTAGCATCAAAGACACTTCCAAATTTATAAGGTAAGCCGTACTGGCATTTTTAGGAGCGAATGAGTTCATCTATGGGTAAGTCTGTTTCTACTGAGAATTTTGTGCATATCACAGTACAAAGATGAAGCATCCTATACAAGATAAAAGACCCAAAAAATTAGCATTTACACTTGCTTCTGCCTGACCCAGGCTTATGGCCCTGAAATGAGGAGAAATGTGTTCTCACAGGGGATGGTGTCATTTGAGGACGTGCCTGTGAACTGCACCCGGGAGGAATGGCGGAACCTGAATGATGCTCAGAGGACCCTGTACTGGAATGTGATGCTGGAGACCTGCAGTCACCTGGTGTCACTAGGTGAGGAAACTCCAATGTAACACTTCAGTGCAAGAGCTGTTTTCTGCACTGACAAGTGTGCATTTGCTTATGACATTGGGAGCAGGTGAGGTAGAACATGGCTGGCAGAGTATATTGTGGGTTTTTTTTTTGGGGGGAAGATTCAGATTGGCCTTTTTTGCACAGCTCTTAACACTGCTTTTGTTACTTTTCAAAGTCTGAAGTTTAACTTGATCCAAGACCAACACGGTTTCTCATCCCAGGGCATTGTGTAAATGATCCTGAGGTGAGCATCGGGTTGGAGCAGGGAGTATAGCCATGGACTGTGGAAGAGCCCCCAAACTAGGACCTCTCAGGTCAGTCAGTGCTTGCCTGGCTGGGAGGCTGGGAGTATGGCCGGTGATATTGGCCACACTGAGCTACTTTTCCAATGTCCAACCTTGGACAGTTTGTCTGCATATATCAGTGTGATTCATTATTCAGCTCTCAAATATTGCTCTCTCCTAGATTTCCTCTGGCTCTTTTAATGGTTGTCAGTATCTTAAACCAGTATACAGTCCCTGATACTGTGGGAAATTATTCTACATTAGTCAAATTTTCTGTGTTCTATATTAATTTATTCTCACAGATGTTTTTTAAAAAAGATTTATTTATTTTTATACAAGAACTGGGGTACAGGTCAGAGGTGCGGGAGGGTGAGAGGATTCACCAGAGACAGAGTGGGGAGCAGAACAGGCAGATGGACCAAAAGCACTGCTGAGGGGAGCAGCAGGTGAAACAGGAGCGGTCTGCTGCGCCATGTGAGTATCTCCCTGGCGGGCCAGGAATCAAACCCGCACTGCAGAGACTGCAGACAGCTTCACAGTGCTGCACTCAACCCGCTGCACCACCGGGGATGCCCCACAAACTGTTTTCTTTAGGTACTGGTTCAGGCATTTTTTCATTCTTTCATTCTTTCAGTATGGTCATGGGAAGTTTAGTTAATGCTAAATGTTCTGCGAGAAGGGATAACAGCAATTATCACAGAAATGGCCTTTGCTTTCTTGAAGTTATATTCTGTGAGAAAGGAAAATATAACAAATACATATATTAAATAGAGAGGTAAAGCCACAAACCGTTTGACCAGGATGAGAGAGAAAAATGGAGGATGTTATTTTTGTGTATGTGCTCCAAAGACATCATTATAGAGATTAATTCTTCCCTTGTAGAGCTTAGGTGAGATGCATGGTTTTCACGGACATATCGTTTATGTAATTCTATGTGTACTCTGGGCTAGAGGATGTGTGTGGCTGCTGGAAATGTCATTTACCGGGTGAGTGACTCAAAACTGATAGACGTGGGCCTCCCCGGTGGTGCATTGGTTGAGCGCTGGGTTGCGAAGCTGCCCATGGCCTCTGCAGCACCGGTTCGATCCCCGGCTGCTCCCCGGCCACCGGAGGAGGGTCCCACATGGTGCGCAGACCTCTTCTGCCGCCCGCTGCTCCCCTCAGCAGTGTACTCCAGTCCTTCTGCCTGCTGTGCTCCCCGCTCTGGCTCTGGTGAATTCTCTCACCCTCCCATGCTTCTGACTGTACCCAGTGCTTGTATAAATAAATAAATCTTAAAAAAAAAAAAACAAAAAAAAACCCCACAACTGATAGACATGGCTTGACTGGCGAGTTATTTCCTTCATACTATTTAAAACAATCTTGAGGGCCTCCCTGGTGGCGCAGGGGGTTAAGCACTGCACTATGAAGCAATCCGCAGCCTGTGCAGCACGAGTTCGGTCCCCGGCCAGCCAGAGAGAAACCCACATGGGAAAGCAGACCTCTTCTGTCTTGCCCACTGCTCCTTCAGCAGTGTATTTCAGTCAGTCTGCCTGTTCTGTTCCCCCAGTCTGTCTCCGCTCACTCCCTGCATCTCTGGCCTGTACCCCAGCTCTTGTATGCATACATAAATAAATTTAAAAAAAAGACAATCTTGAATTCATTGACATGACTATATTCATCAATTTAGTGTGTGTGTGGTTCCCATATTGTTTACTTGAAAAGATAACATTATTTACTGTGTTGTCCTTAACCTTTTTTAACTAGTTTCCTTTTTAAGCTCCAAAACCTCCTGTGCACATTCCATTGTAGCTTGGATCTGTGGGCAAAACTCTGGCCTGTAATTTCGGGGATGTTTGAGGAAATACTTTCATAAAATATAAGGGATTTATTAATCTCAGAGAAAAATATCTGGTTCATAAATGAACCTTATAAAAGCTGTGGGAATGGCGTCTCGGACACCAGGTTCTTCAAATATGATTGTTGTTGCTTTGCTTAGTATTCAACCATGACCTACAATTTCCCTCTGGCCTGTTAGCTCGGTTTCTATTATGAATATTCCCCCTTGTTCTACCTCCTTGTTGTACACATATGTGCTCTTGGGTCAGATTTGCTAGCACTGATAATATAGTGTCCATGGTGGTTTCATGGGTGTATATGATCCTCTGTGCTCAGTGGGTGCATTAGACTGTTACTGTGTAAACACGGATCTTAGTGCGTTAGGGCATTCTTCTCTTTGCGAACAGGATCTCTTTTTCTCTTTTTAAAATTTATTTTAGGGTCTCCCTGCTAGTGCAAGGGGTTATGCGCAGCACTGTGAAGCTATTTGCAGCCTCCACAGAAAGAGTTCGATCCCCTGCTAGCCAGGGAGCTACTGGCATGGCGCAGCAGACCTCTCCTGTCTCGCCTGCTGCTCCCCTCAAAAATATATATCTGTCAGTCTGCCTGTTCGGTTCCCCACTCTGTCTCTGGTGAATCCTCTCAGCCTCCACACCTCTAGCCTGTACCCCAGTTCTTGTATGCAGAAATAAATAAATCTTTAAAAAACAAAAAAGATTTATTTTAGTTATTTATGTATATATATATATATAGCTGGGAAGTAGGCCAGATGTGAGAGGGTAGGAGAGTGAGAGGTTTCACCAGACAGAGTGGGGAGCAGAACAGGCAGATCTACTGAAATATACTGCTGAGGGGAGCAGTGGGCAACATAGGAGAGGTCTGCTGCGCCACATGGGATAGCACACTGGATGGGTATGGAACTTGTGCTGCATTGGATGCTGATAGCGTCATAGTACTGAGACTGAACCCCTTGTGCCACCATGGGGCCCCTCTTAACTCTCTTTTCACCTTGTGTCTAATTTAGAGTGTGCTAATAGCCATGGTAACTGTGTATTTTGATTTCAGGAACCCTTGACCTTCAGAGATATGGCCATAGAATTCTCCCAGGAGGAGCAGGACAATCTGGACCGTCCACAGTGGAAACTGTACAGGGACGTGATGTTGGAGACCTTCGTGCTGTCCTTCGATGAGGAGAATATCCCTCCAGATTTCTTCATCTGCCTCAGCTTTTCCTGTGCAGTGTGTGGGTGTGCACCTGAATGACCAAGATTGTGGGTTAGTTTCAGATCTCTCCTTTAAAAAAAAACAGTGTGGGTTCGTTGGAAAGAAAGTCTCATGCTATTTCATCATGACTGAAACGTCTCCTTTCTTAGGGTGGTCTGCAACCTGCTCTCTCTATTACTGGTCATTCAAGAAAATCAGTGCCTAAAGCGTTATTCTTACAAGATGAAAACCCAGCTTCCACCACATTCCTAGGACTCAGAGGTTTAAAAATACTTCTCTGTATATGAAAATTTTAATGAGTTCAAGAAAAGGTGCTGTCAGAAAAAGTATTAGCAGTTATCCTTTTCTAGAACCTTCTAGAATGTCCTCTCTACTGAGCACACTATTGCATTGGGAATTTGAGAATCTCCAGGATATCTCATATCATTTGTCCTAATAAACAAGTCTTTCTGTATCTACACCCAACCTGGCTGTCTTGTTGGAGCAAAAGGAGTCCTGGGATGTGAAGAGAAGTGCAAATCCCATCTTCCTCCCAGGTAGGTGGAATGAATCCAGCAGATGACGCAGCTGAGAGGTGTAGTGGTCAACAGGAAAGCATCCTGAATGTATGGGAAGCTCTGTTTCAGGAATTGCAGACATGCTTCCATTTTGTCTTGGAATCATAGCCTTGCTCTCTCTGGGGGCGTCTCTTCTCTGACACTTGAGTTCTCTGCCATTCCTGCTTAATGAATTGAACTAAGGTTTTGTCTATTTTGTTGATCTTTCAAAATCCAGACTTTTCATGGAGAAGCTCCTGCTTTTTGGCCTTGATGTTACATTTATGTATTTCTTATTTGGTTTTTAATGTCCTTCTCTGTGCCAGTTTAGAACTTAGATTGTTCTTTTTCTAATTCCTTGAGGTGTGATGTTATGTTGCTTAGCTGAGATCCCTCTTATTGCTAGTGTAATTATTTAATGCTTTAAATTTACCTCGGCAGCAGTCCGTCTGCCCACCTGTAACTATGCAGGTGCTTCTTTCACCAACTCTCCTCTGCAGGGAAGCAGCTTCCTGACTGCCCGTGACCTGTACTTGCCAGGCCATCTCTTCACTGACCTCCCTCAGCGGAGGCCGCTCTCCTCAAGGCTGCCCACCTGCAACCATGCAGGCCTCTCTCAGAAAACCTGTCCCTTTTGGGGCAGCTCTTCCTGGCCGCTTGTGTCTATGCAAGTGTCCTTTACTCTTCTGTCCCTTTCCCTAATAAACCTGTTATTTAAATATAAAAAAAATTACCTCTTAGAATTGTTCTCTGAATCCCACATGTTTTGGGAGTTTGCTTTGTTTCATTGTTTTCTCAGTATTTCTTAGTTTTTTGGAATCAAGGATTTGGTTTACCTTGCTCTACGTGATTCAGGGAATAGATTCTCATCTCCTCAGATGTCTGTCACCACCACACCCACCAACAGTGCATTGTGGGCTTCTCCATAGATCTTTGAACCCCTCCCAATTTTGTACCCACACCCACTCACCCTCCCTCTTTAGTACCTTCAATTCTGCAGTCCTATTTCTAGAGTTTATTTTGGTTTGCGTTGTCAGTTATTTTGCTTTGTTTTTTCCACAAGCCAGTGCAACTTCAGGGAACATTTGGTTCTGAAAGTCAGCCTCTCCTCCCTGGGATGAAGCCTGCTTGATTGTGGGAGATGATTGGTGTGTTGTACTCAATTTTATTTTATTTTTATTTATTTATACAAGCACTGGGTACAGTCAGAAGCGTGGGAAGGTGAGAGAATTCACCAGAGCCAGAGCCGGGAGCAGAGCAGGAGAAGGACTGAAGTACACTGCTGAGGGGAGCAGCGGGCTGCAGGAAAGGTCTGCGCGCCATGTGGGACCCTCCTCCAGTGGCCGGGGAGCAGCCGGGGATTGAACCGGCGCTGCAGAGGCTGCGGGCAGCTTCGCAACCCAGCGCTCAACGGCTGCGCCACCGTGGAGGCCCTGTACTCAATTTTATTGAGGGTTTTTGCATCTGTGTTCACTGGTGATTCTGATTTAAAATTTTCCTTTTTGTTTGGTGTTGGCATCAGGATAATGTTGACCTCCTCTAGTGTGTTGTGTGGTTTTCCTCCATCTTCAATTTTTTGGATGTTGTAGATTTTTTTGTATTTGCCTCTGTCATCGTTTCTTTGATGATTTCTCTCTCTTTCCCTGAATGCTTGTATTTCTTCTGTTCCTGAATGTAGGTAATCCACGTGTTCAGTTCTCGTCCTCCTCAAATTTTAGTTCTCATGACTGAGTCAACCTACTGTGGTTGGCAGTTCTACCAGTTATACTCGCACTTGGACCTCCTTCCCAGTCTTGGTGCCACAGGCTCAACTCCCATTTGGACGAGACCTCATAGCTGTCCAGATGACACCTGTAGCTCATGCAACATGAAGACCTCATTCTGCGTTCTGCCCTTATGTATGGAATGAGTTCATTCCAGCCAGTGACTCAAACCACCAGAATGGGATTTCTCCTGGATTCCTGCCTCTGAAGTTTCATCTCCTCTAATGCAAGCTGGCTTCATATTATTAGTGTTCATGGGTGCTAACAATAGCAACAAACATATTTACGTGTGTGTGTGTGTGTGTGTGTGTACATATATCTACTTTCTTTCACATCACAGTCATCATTCTTGGCCAACCTTAAGGATGTGTTTCCTCAGTGATGTCCTATTGTCCAGTGAGTGGTGACACCTCAGAGTACAGCAGGAGAAAGTACTCTGGAGTCTGTGGGACACGTTTGCACAAGGGTCATGAGAAAGACATGTACTGAGTAAAACCAGGTAGCACAGATTTTCATCCTTTGAACTTTTGTTCTTCTAAGTTTATGTCAGTGATTCCAAATGTAGTTTCTAATTAAGAACTTTATGTTTTAATTTTAAAAATTAGAGAAAGTGATGTGTGTGGATTATTCACAACTATGATTCTGTTCTGGAACTCTGATTAATAGTAGCTTGATTTTTCTTTTGTTGTTTCTTTCTACCTTGACAGCATTTACATAACTTGAAATCTCATTTTAGCAGTTCTCATTTAGCAGTTAAATCTAATTTAGCAGTTCTCCTGCCGCCTCTGTCTATGAGGTGTTTGTTTTTACAAACCTTTTCCCTCTGCAAAGCAGCAGTGGCATCTCTCCTGTCCTGCTGTGACTATTCAGGTTCCTCTCTTATTTCTCCTTTTCCTTACAAATGTGTCCTTTTAAAGTGTAAAATGAACAAAATTTCATTTTTCATGTAGAGTTCTCTGGCATTTAGAATCTTAGCAATGTTGTGTGACCATCACTGCCGTGCAGGTTTTTTCATCTCTTCCAGATGAAATGCTCTATTGTAAACTCTAGTTCCCTACTGCCCTCTCCTATAGCCCCTGGCATCCACCATTTTACTTTCTGCTTCTGTGACTTGGACAGGTCTTGAAACTCAAAGGGAAGTCATACTACACCTCTTCTTTTGCGAATGTCGTCTTTTACTTAGCAGATTGTCTTTGAGGTGCACCCATAGTTTACTATATGTCGGTTGCTTCCTTTCTAAGTCTCAGTAATATTCCTTTTTGTGTGTATGCCAGGTTTAATTATCCATTTATCCAGCATGGATGCTTGGGTTGATTTTCCTTTGACACGCCAGATGTCACCTTTATGACTGCCTGGTACAGGACTGCATCGCATGTTGCCATGTGATGTAGTTTGATGCAGACCCTGCAATTCCCAGGGTGTGTTGTTGTGCACCTGGCACACTCAGTCGCCATTTCTGTGAATGCTCCTTGTGCATCCAGAACTCAGGGAGTGGAATTTCCAGGTACATACATCGCTTATAGGCCCTCACCCTGATTCAAACCAAAAAATACTTCACTGAGACAAATCATCATAAAACTCATCAAAGATAATTATTAAACAGCATGTGGGGAAAGTCCATCATGTAAGAGAATCACCCCCATAAAATTTTCCATATATTTCTTCATAGAAATGTTGAGAACTGAGATGAAGTCTGAAGTTTTCAAAGTACTGAAATGGAAGATACTGTGAAGAATCCTGTGTCTGCCAAACCTGTCACAAATAGAGGAATTATGGACTTCTTTGAAAGAAGTGCTATGTGAGGTGAGTCTTTATCTTTCTATAGAGGAAGACACCATGGTGGGTGCTATAAATAGCACTGTTCCATGGGCCCATATACACACACCTGTACATATGTATACACATGTGTATTTGTATATATGTCTAGTAGCATCCACTGTATTTGTAGATGGGTCTCTTAGAAGATAATCAAAGTTCTTCATGGGCCTCCCCGGTGGCGCAGCGGTTGAGCGCTGGGTTGCGAAGCTGCCCGCAGCCTCTGCTGTGCTGGTTCGATCCCCGGCTGCTCCCCGGCCTCTGGAGGAGGGTCTCGCACGGCACGCAGACCTCTCCTGCCGCCCGCTGCTCCCCTCAGCAGTGTCTTCGGTCCTTCTGCCTGCTCTGCTCCCCACTCTGGCTCTGGTGAATTCTCTCACCCTCCCGCGCTTCTGACTGTACCCAGTGCTTGTATAAATAAATAAATTAATTAAATTAAAAAAAAAAAAAAGAAGATAATCAAGGTTCTTCAGTAAGATAAGGTAAGGGTCCCTGATGCAACACCATGTGTAACCCCATAACAAGAGGAGAGCTGTCTCATTCCTCCCACCATACATGCATTGTCTAGTAAGCAATGATCTGCAGACCAAGCATGGTGCCTCTCCTACCAAGCACTGAGCTGACTGGACTGTGCACTTCCCATTCTTCCTAATGGAAGAAAAGGAATTTGTTTGGTCCTGTAGTCTATTTATGGTATCCTAAGCTTACTAAACCTGGGAGGTAACTGAATTCTTGTGGGAAGAAATATAGCCATCCACCCTCTCTCCATCCTCTCTATATTCTTAGTTGTTTTATTTCTCATGTGAACTGTTGAATAATTTTGCCTCTAAATAAGAATGCACTGAGCTCATTAGAATTGTTTTGTTAACCTGCTTACCTTGGGAGAATAGCTGTTGTTGCAATGTAGACACATCTTCTGATCCTATTGTGACTTTTCATTTGTTTAGTTCCTTTTTTAACCCTCCAAGGTTTTTTTTCCCTGCTCAGACTCCTGTCCATTGTTCTGTGAAATGTATTGCTGGGAATTTTGCTCTCATTGGCATCATATGGGAGTTCCTGTGTATATGAAGACTCATATATATTATTTTCAGTGTCTGCTCATTGAATTTTCCTTTTCATTTTTTTTTTAAAGATTTATTTATACAAGAACTGGGGTACAGGCCAGAGGTGTGGGAGGGTGTGAGGATTCACCAGAGACAGAGTGGGGAGCAGAACAGGCAGACAGACCGAAAATACTGCTGAAGGGAGCAGCTGACGAGACAGGAGACATCTGCTGCACCATGTGGGCATCTCCCTGGCTGGCTGAGAACAAATCGGCGCTGCAGAGGCTGCGGAGAGCTTCACAGCACTGTGCTCAACCCGCTGCGCCACCAGGGGAGGCCCTTCACTATTTTAAAAAGATTTTTTATTTATGGGACCTCCCCTGGTGGTGCAATGGTTGAGCGCTGGGCTGCAAAGCTGCCCGCAGCCTCTGCAGCACCGGTTCGATCCCCTGCTGCTGGCGAGGGTCCCTCATGGCACTGGCAGGCCTCTCCTGCCGCGCCCGCTGCTCCCCTCAGCAGTGTGTTTCTGTCAGTCTGCCTGTTCTGTTCCCTGCTCTGGCTCTGGTGAATTCTCTCACCCTTCTGCGCTTCTGACTGTACCCAGTGCTTGTATAAATAAATATATCTTTTAAAAAAAATTTTATTTATGAATATAAGAGCTGGGGTGCAGGCCAGTGGTGCTGGGGAATGGATATGAGAGGATTTACCAGAGAGTGGGGAGAATACAGGATAGGTCTGCTGTGCCATGTGGGCCAGGTCTCTGTCCAGGGATTGAACTCATGCTCCAGTGGCTGCCTATAGTTTGATAGTGCTGAGACTTAACCCCTTTTGCAAGCAGGGAGGCCCAAATTTTGCTTTTTAGAGTACTTTTGATGTGATTTCTTTTGATTTTTTTAAGGATTTATTATGGCTAGTTACGACGTTTTAACTGATGTTTTTCTCTTTTTCAGTTGTTTTCAATTATCCTAACCCGGTTTTTGTAAGTGGAAATTGAGAAAAGATGTCATTCCTTGTCTCACTGTAAATGTGATTTCACCTGTAGCTATGTCCAGGGTACTGATTTATGTTAGGGAAAATTTTCCTGAATCCTTTTTTTAGTTATTACAAACCCGAGGGTATTTTCATACATTCCTGCTCAATATTTGTGTGGAAATTTGTGGGATTTTCTACATAGGAATAGGGGTATGATGAAATATATGAATAGATTTCTTTTTTAAAAAAAACTTATTTATTTATGCATACAAGAGCCAGAGGTGCAGGGGTAAGAAGATTCACCAGAGAAAGAGCGGGAAGCAGAGCAGGCAGACTGACCCAAACACACTGCTGAGGGGAGCAGCAGGCAAGTAAGGAAAGTCTACCATGCTATGTGGGTAACTCCCTGGGCTGCTGCAGAGGCTATGGACAACTTCATAGTGCTGTGCTTAATGCTTTGTGCCACCAGGGAGGCCCTGAATAGATTTCTTTATACTGAAGTTACCTTATACTTAGTGTTATCTTTTGCAAAAAAAATCCCTTGTTGCTATGATCTGTTTTTTCTTTCTCCATCAGTAAATACTAGTCTCTCCAATTCTTGCTCCTCTTCTTCTTTCAGTCTCTGATTTGGTTGAGCCATGTTATTCACTGGGATAGCTTAAGTCCCAGTAAACTCTGGTGTTTCCTGAATTTCTATCTTCTGCTTAGATTTCCTGATCTATAAAACACATGTCCACTTGAGTGGGACTCTGAAATATACCAGCTGGTCATGAAGACAGCATGTTAGGAAAACATTCCTTCTCCCCTTAGCCCCCAAGGTATGAACAAGTTCTCCTTTATTCCCCTGTTTGGAATCCCTGTTCTATGTGCTTTTGTCTCTAATAGGTCATCATCTTTTGCCTCCTTTTATTGTCCCCTCAGTATTTGTACTATTGGTGTACAGTCTGGGTTTGCTTACTCTGCAATTGTGGTAAGCTTGCTTTTAGGTAATAGGAATAAAATATTAGGATTAATCTGTACATTTTCACTTGAGAGGATGATCACATAACATTCTTTCCTGGTGTATTCAGCTCACATATCCCATAGTTCATGAAAGCTGATGGACTTCAGTTCCAGAATACTTTTACTGTCATTCTCACCTCACTGCCCAGACTCTGCCTGGCAGCTTGCTCTCTGCAGTTCAGTTACCATGGCGAGTGCTTTGTTTTCTCACACAATGACATCTGCTGTTGTCTTGTACTAGGGAGTATGTTATTTACAAGGAAGAGCAAGTGTTTGGGTCTTCAGTGAAGTGTAACATGACAGTACAAAGTGTTGGTTTTTCTTCTCTTGTATCCATGTCTGCATTCAGCATGCTTTTCACACCACTCCTTTAGCATGTTATTCTAGGTGTGTGTCTATTCTACCTGCCAACCAGGTGCTAAGCTCTTTGAGGAGCAAATTTTACTCATCCTCTTATACTGAGCCTGAGAATACTTCCAGATTTATAAGGTAAGCTATAAAAGTACTTTGAGAGGGGTATCTCTGGTGATGCGGCGGGTTGAGCACAGCGTGGTAAAGCTGTCCACAGACTCTGCAGCACGGGTTCGATTCCTGGCCGGCCAGGGAGATGCCCACATGGCGTGGCAGACCTCTCCTGTCTCGCCTGCTGCTCCCCTCAGCAGAGTTTCTGGTCCATCTGCCTATTCTGCTCCCTGCTCTGTCTCTGGTGAATCCTCTCAGCCTCCCACGCCTCTGGCCTGTACCCCAGTGCTTGTGTAAATAAATCTTTTTTTTTAAATCCTTTTTTGGTTTTTATGACAGCTCAATAGTGCTGTGGTCAACCTGTTGTGCCACCGGGGAGGCCCTATATAAATAAATCTTAAAAAAAAAAGTGGGTCTCCCTGGTGGTGCAAGGGGTTAAGCACTGCACTATGAAGCAATCTTCGGACTCTGCAGCATGAGTTTGATCCCTGGCTTGCCAGGGAGCAACCCACATGGCACAGCAGACCTCTCTTGTCTCTCCCGCTGCTCCCCTCAGTAGTGTATTTCAGTCAGTCTGCCTGTTCTGTTCCCCCACTCTGTCTCTGATGAATCCTCTCACCCCCCCTGCATCTCTGGCCTGTACCCCAGCTCTTGTATGCATAAATAAATAAATCTTTAAAAAAAAAAAGTACTTTGAGAGGGTAATGGGGATAATGGGTTAACCCAAAGGTAAGGATATTTTCTACTGTGTAGTCTCTTCCTATCAAAATTTAGAGCTAAAAAACCGTACAGGAGCCTCCCTTATGGTGTAAGGGGTTAAGTATAGGCACTATGAAGATATTAGCAGGTGCTGCAACATGAGTTTGATCCTCGGCCAGGGAGATGACCCACATGGTACAGAGGACCTCTCCAGTCTCACCCGCTGCTCCCTTCAGCGGAATATTTCAGTAGATCCATCTATTCTGCTCCCCACTCTGTCTCTGGTGAATTCTCTCGCCCCCTACCTCTCCCGTACCTCTGGACTGCATTTATTTATGCATAAATAAAAAAATCTTTAAAAAAATAGAGATGGTACATCCTATAGGAGATCAAAGACCCACAAAAGATTGTGCTTTCACACTTGCTGCGCTCTCACCCAGGCTGATGGCCCTAAAATGAAGAGGAATGTTCATTTAAGGAGGTGGCTGTGAACTTCACCTGGGAGGTGAGGCAGGAACTCGGTGATGCTCAGAGGACCCGGGAGGTGATGCTGGAGACCTGCAGTCCCTGTTGTCACTAGGTGAGGAAACTCCTCTGTAATACTCAAGTGCATCCACTGTTTTCTACGCTGATAAATATGTGCATTGCTCTTCAATCTCCCTTTGTCGTTTATCCAAAACTGAACCTTATGCAACTTGATCAAGGAAGAAAATTGTTTCTCATTACTGGACACTGTTAAAATGTTGACGTGAGCATCGGGTTGGAGCAGGGAGCAGAGCCACTGACCATAGAAAAACTCCAAAAGCAGCACTTCTCAGGTCAGTCAGTGTACACCTTATAGGGGGGCTGGAAGGAGCTGAGACAGGCAGACATTGGCCACATGGAGCTACTTATCCCGATACCCAAAGATGGAAGTTTGTCTGTAAGTATCAAACTTGTTCATTATTCAGTTTCGATTACAACTCTCTTGTCAATCTTCCCCTATTTTTTTTTAAAGATTTATTTATTTATGCATACAAGAGCTGGGTACAGGCCAGAGGTGTGGAGGGTGAGAGGATTCACCAGAGACAGAGTGGGAGGCAGAACAGGCAGACTGACTGAAATACACTGCTGAGAGGAGCAGCGGTCAAGACAGGAGACATCTGCCGCACCATGTGGGTATCTCTCTGGCCAGCCGGGATTGAATCTGCGCTGCAGAGGCTGCGGACAGCTTCACAGTACTGTGCTCAACCCCATGCGCCACCAGGGTGGCCTCCCCTAATTTTTTTTTTCCTAAAGATTTATTTATTTATTGATACGAGAACCGGGGTACAAGCCATATGCATCGGAGGGTGAGAGGATTCACCAGAGACAGAGCGGGGAACAGAACAGGCAGACTGAGGAAACACACTGCTGAGGGGAGCAGCGGGCGTGACAGGAGAGGTCTGCCGTGCCATGTGGGACCCTCGCTGGCTGGCCAGGATCGAACTGGTGCTGCCAAGGTTGCAGACAGCTTCACAGTGCTGCGCTTAACCACTTGTGCCACCAAGGGAGGTCCCCCCCTCAAATTTTTTTTTTTTTCTTTCAAATAAATTTTATTTATTTTTTATTTTTTTTAAATAATAAATTTTATTTTTATATTCCCCATACAATTGCAGCCCCCCACATTCTGACCCCAATCCCTCCGCTCCTGCCCCGCCCCCCTAAAAGTGTCTCTGGTTCATAGTTTTTTGTTGATTTTGATTTTCACTTTCTTATAGTTATTCATTTTCCTGGTCCCTTATTTAAGTTTTCTAGATTCCTGCTATGAGTGAGACCATCCGATATTTTTCTTTTTCTTTCTGGCTTATTTCTCTGAGCATGATCCCTTCCAGCGCCATCCATGTTGCTGCAAATTGCATGTGTTTATCTTTTTTGAATGCTGAGTAATATTCCATGGTATATATGTACCACATCTTCTTGATCCAGTCATCTATTTTTGGGCATTTGGGTTGTTTTCAGAGCTTAGCTATTGTAAACAGTGCTGCTATAAACATAGGGGTGCAGGTGTTCTTTGGAATTGATGTTTCTGTGTCCTTTGGGTAAATACCTAGGAGTGGAATTGCTGGATCATATGGAAGCTCTATGTTTAGTAGGTCCAGAAATCTCCACACAGCTCTCCACAGTGGTTGGACCAGTTTGCACTCCCACCAACAGTGCAGAAGAGTTCCTTTTTCTCCACACCCTCGCCAACATTTGTTGTTGCTAGTTTTTTTAATATGTGCCATTCTCACTGGTGTAAGATGGTATCTCATGGTAGTTTTGATTTGCATTTCCCTGATGACAAGTGATGTTGAACATTTTTTCATATGCCTGTTGGCCATTTGCATTTCCTCTTCAGAGAAGTTTCTTTTTAGCTCTTCTGCCCATTTTTTGACTGGATAATTTTCTTTGTTGTTGTTGAGTCTCATCAGCTCTTTGCAGATTTTTGTGATCAGTCCTTTATCATTAGTGTTGAGTGCAAAAATGTTCTCCCAGTCGGTAGGGTTTCTCTTTGTTTTTGTTATTGTCTCTTTTGCTGTGCAGAAGCTCTTTAATTTGATGTAGTCCCAGCTGTTTATCTTTGCCTTCACTATCACTGCTTTGGGTGATGTGTCTGTAAAGATGTCTTTGATGTGCAAATCACGTAGTGTTTCGCCTATATTTCCTTCTATATATTTTATGGTTTCAGGTCTTATGTCTAGTTCTTTAATCCATTTTGAGTTGATTTTTGTGTATGGTGTGAGGTAGTGGTCAAGCTTCATTCTTTTGCATATAGCGACCCAGTTTTCCCAGCACCATTTATTGAACAAACTTTCTTTGCTCCAATGCATAGTCTTTGCTCCTTTGCCAAAGATTAGTTGACCATAAATCTGTGGGTTTATTTCTGGATTTTCTATTCGATTCCATTGGTCTGTATGTCTGTTCTTGTTCCAATACCATGCAGTTTTGATGATTATGGCTTTGTAGTATAGTTTGAAGTCTGGGAGTGTGATGCCTCCATTCCCTTCTTTTTTTTTTCAGGAGAGCTTTGGCTATTCGGGGTTTTTTGTGATTCCATTTGAATTTCATCAATCATTGTTCTATTTCTTTGAAGAATGACATTGAAATTTTGGGTTTTTTTTTGTTTTTTTTTTTTTTTTTTTGTAGTTTTTCTTTTTTTTTCTTTTCTTTTATTTTATTTTATTTTTTTATTAATAATAAATTTTATTTTTATATTCCCCATACAATTGCAGCCCCCCCATTCTGACCCCAATCCCTCCCCTCCCACCCCCGCCCCCCTAAAAGTGTCTCTGGTTTGTAGTTTTTTGTTGATTTTGATTTTCACTTTCTTATAGTTATTCGTTTTCCTGGTCCCTTATTTAAGTTTTCTAGATTCCTGCTATGAGTGAGACCATCCGGTATTTTTCTTTTTCTTTTTGGCTTATTTCGCTGAGCATGATCCCTTCCAGTGCCATCCATGTTGCTGCAAATTGCATGTGTTTATCTTTTTTGAATGCTGAGTAATATTCCATGGTATATATGTACCACATCTTCTTGATCCAGTCATCTATTTTTGGGCATTTGGGTTGTTTTCAGAGCTTAGCTATTGTAAACAGTGCTGCTATAAACATAGGGGTGCAGGTGTTCTTTGGAATTGATGTTTCTGTGTCCTTTGGGTAAATACCTAGGAGTGGAATTGCTGGATCATATGGAAGCTCTATGTTTAGTAGGTCCAGAAATCTCCACACAGCTCTCCACAGTGGTTGGACCAGTTTGCACTCCCACCAACAGTGCAGAAGAGTTCCTTTTTCTCCACACCCTCGCCAACATTTGTTGTTGCTAGTTTTTTTAATATGTGCCATTCTCACTGGTGTAAGATGGTATCTCATGGTAGTTTTGATTTGCATTTCCCTGATGACAAGTGATGTTGAACATTTTTTCATATGCCTGTTGGCCATTTGCATTTCCTCTTCAGAGAAGTTTCTTTTTAGCTCTTCTGCCCATTTTTTGACTGGATTCTTTTCTTTGTTGTTGTTGAGTCTCATCAGCTCTTTGCAGATTTTTGTGATCAGTCCTTTATCATTAGTGTTGTGTGCAAAAATGTTCTCCCAGTTGGTGGGGTTTCTCTTTGTTTTTGTTATTGTCTCTTTTGCTGTGCAGAAGCTCTTTAATTTGATGTAGTCCCAGCTGTTTATCTTCGCCTTCACTATCGCTGCTTTGGGTGATGTGTCTGTAAAGATGTCTTTGATGTGCAAATCATGTAGTGTTTCGCCTATATTTCCTTCTATATATTTTATGGTTTCAGGTCTTATGTCTAGTTCTTTAATCCATTTTGAGTTGATTTTTGTGTGGTGTGAGGTAGTGGTCAAGCTTCATTCTTTTGCATGTAGCGACCCAGTTTTCCCAGCACCATTTATTGAACAAACTTTCTTTGCTCCAATGCATAGTCTTTGCTCCTTTGTCAAAGATTAGTTGACCATAAATCTGTGGGTTTATTTTTGGATTTTCTATTCGATTCCATTGGTCTGTATGTCTGTTCTTGTTCCAATACCATGCAGTTTTGATGATTATGGCTTTGTAGTAGAGTATGAAGTCTGGGAGTGTGATGCCTCCATTCCCTTCTTTTTTTTTCAGGAGAGCTTTGGCTATTCGGGGTTTTTTGTGATTCCATATGAATTTCATCAATAATTGTTCTATTTCTTTGAAGAATGACATTGAAATTTTTATTGGAATAGCATTGAATCTGTATATTGCTTTTGGAAGGATGGCCATTTTAATAATGTTTATTCTTCCAATCCATGAGCAGGGGATGTCTTTCCATTTCTTTGTGTCTTCTTCTATTTCTTTTAACAGTGTTTTATAGTTTTCTTTGTATAGGTCCTTTACCTCTTTTGTTAGATTTATTCCCAAATATTTGATTTTTTTTGTTTCAATAAAAAAAGGGATGGTTATTTTGATTTCTTCTTCAGATTTATTGTTTGTGTATAGGAAGGATATTGACTTTTGCGTGTTGATTTTGTATCCTGCCACTTTACTGAACTGATTGATGAGTTGAATTAGTTTTTCTGTGGAGTTTTTGGGGTTCTCTATGTATATTATCATATCATCTGCAAATAGTGATAGCTTGACTTCTTCTTTTCCTATTTGGATTCCTTGGATGTCTTTCTCTTGTCTTATTGCTCTGGCTAGGACTTCCAGTATTATATTGAAAAGCGGTGGTGAGAGTGGACATCCTTGTCTTGTTCCAGATCTTAATGGAATTGCTTTCAGCTTTTCACCATTGAGAATGATACTGGCTGTTGGCTTGTCATAGATGGCCTTTATGATGTTGAGGTATGTTCCTTGTATCCCAAGAAATTCAAGGGCTTTTATCATGAATGGATGTTGCACTTTGTCGAAAGCTTTCTCAGCATCTATTGATATTATCATATGGTTTTTATATTTCTTTTTGTTGATGTGTTGGATAACGTTGATTGATTTTCGGATGTTAAACCATCCTTGTGTCCCTGGAATGAATCCTACTTGGTCGTGGTGAATTATCTTATGGATACACCGCTCATCTCTGGCTCCTGAGGAAGCCTTCTTTACTGAAGAAATGTAGTCTTTACTGAAGAAATGTCCCTGTTCTAAAATGGTGATGTGGGACACACTCCCTGCGCGTCCTGTCTCAGGCACACTCTTCTGCGCTCCTGGTCTGCCCCGGCTGTGGGTGCTTGCTCCCCCTGTGGGCTCAGACTACTGGTCGGAAGGGGCCCGGCGTGGGCTAACTCCCCAGCTGGCCACTGGCTCCTCCAGGAGCCTCTGCTGGCTTCAAGTCGCTAGGTGGCGCCAGAGATCTCTCCTGGAGCCCTTGGGGAGCTGATTTTCCACCCCGTGGGACAGGGAGCAGAGCGAGAATGGTAGGGTAAACCTCAATGGCTTTGGGGTGCTGTGTCTGCCTTGTGCCCCACCGTCGTGGGGAACCCACGCCCCTAATTTTGTGCCCCGGGTCTCAGTTCCAAAGCCCTCAGTTCCAGGACTTGGGCTGTAGCCCAGTTCAGTGGCGCAGGAATGGCCGCTCCAGTGCCTGGGCGCCTGGTTCCTGCTCACTCAGTGAGGGCCTCCGCGCGTCTCCCCGCAAGCCTAGGTCGCAGGCGCGGGGACCTGCGCTTGCTTTTCAACCGCACTGCTTTTCCGCGCGATCCCGATTCAGGTCCGCGCCGCTTTTCCGCGCAATCCTGATCCCGATCCGCGTCTGCTTTTCCAGCGTGCCGCTTTTCCGTGCAAGCTTACCGGGCCGCCCGGGGCTGTGTGCTGGTCCTGGCCTCCTCCTGGGGGGGGGGGGGCTCTCTTTAATGGCGCCTGGAGCTCACCTCTGCGTCGGATCCTGCAGGATTCTCCACAGCTCCCGTTCACGGGGTGTGGTGGCTGAAATAGTTCCTTTCCACTCACAGTCCCGCTTGCTGAGTAGTTTGTTCTTGTTGGTCCTTTTAGTTTTTTTTTTTTGTTTGTTTGTTTGTTTTTTTTTCCTCCTCTCTGCCTGTCGGAGAGTGCCGACTTTGTGGGCGGGGGAGGGGAGCAGGGTTCTGCGCTTTCCTCCCTTCTGGTCCTCTTTTATGGCCACTTTCTTCTTCGGGCAGTTTGCTGGAGTCACCCGTTTATCTTCCGTGTCCCAGTTCTCACTGGGACCTGCCGCTTTTCCTCCCTATTAACTTTTTTTAATGGGAGATCTTACTAGCAGCGTCTCCTCGCCGCCATGTTGCTCGCCCATCCCCCCCCTCTAATTTTTTAATGGAGGTTAATTTTCATATCTTATCCAGTATCTCATTCCTGGCTAGTCTTTAACTTTTTCTGCATTAGGCACATTTCCATATTTTCAATATTACTGTATTCTCACAAACCGTTTCATTCAG